TGAAAATGGAGCTACAAGGAAAAAACTGTGTGTACTATTATGTACTTACTTGTTCATCAATAATTTGGTGGATGACATGTCCTGGAGGTACATGAATGGGCAGAGCCGAGGGCGACATACCGCATTCACCTACCATGCGGACAGTAGCAGGCCCTGAAACATTTTCATTAAAGGTGAGCAACGAGATTACAAGGCGTTCACTTGAAGTACTCACCAGTGATGTTCTGCACATCGTTGCCAACAAGAATGTTCAATGTTTCTCCCATTTGGATATGTACGAACAGATCGTTGGGAGCGCCCGGAGGTGTTGGATGTACCCACGTCGGTACGGTCATACCGGTAACACCATTTATCGGCGGAGCGCATGGTAGGACATTTGGACGGGGGAAGAATCCGGGTTGTTCGGATGATGAACTGCCGCCCTCATCGGAGACTAGCTCCTGAGTCTTCATCCCTCCGAGTCCGGAGCTGTAAAATATCATAGATGTGGAAGATCTGGGAGACGCCTCTTAACGTGTGAGAGGTATCTGATGAAAGCTGGAAAGTGCCAAGAGTGCTATTATTAAGTTTAATCTAGCAAAAAATCAATAATATTAATGTGTCTATCATTTGATGAATTTATCATGTGATTTGCGCGTAATACATTCACAAGCTCAAGACAGCAAAAAGGCTCAATAGTGCAATAAAAAGGAACTAAAGAACACAGAAGCTACTTAACAAGTCTCAATCATAGCTGTTGAGTTTGCACAGAAGTGCAGGTTCAAAAAGAAAAACATCCCTAAACTCGTTTTGTATGGTGTGCTGTAAAAAGATACATAGACAAAAAATTGTCGGAAAATGGTTTGACTTCTTTCTTCAGCAATTTTTTTGATGATGAGCTCTTATTCCCTCCTCATACCATCGTCTGGAGTATTGTACGAACTGACCTGCTTCCGCAGTCGCTGTCCTGCATACAGCTTGTAGAAGGGAACGAAGGAGGAGGTCCAAGACGGGCCGCACAATACGACGCCATCACGTCATTCGCCTTTAAAAGATTAAAGTAACTTAGTACCTTTTCCATGCTATTTTTGAACGGTATTCTAGACGGTATAGAAGTAGGAATTAATTTTTAATTGGGAAAACACGCATCTATTTTCGAATCTAGCTATTAATAAGATAAAAAGGGAACTGGGACAAAGCACAGCCTGTATAAATGTAGGGAACGAAGCATATTCTTAGTTGGCGGCATTTAAGATATGCTGACGTACGCATTCACAGACGACGTCAATCATTTTGTTCCGCCCACGTGCGCAGGATTGATGACGAGGACGGG